CAAAGCCCTGGCTTGATCACAGAATCATCAAGGTTAGAAGGAACCCCTAGAGATCCAATCCCACCCAAAGCAGGTTACATAGGAACATGCCCAGGCTGGTTTTGAATGTCTCCAAAGAGGGAGACTCCACAACCTCTCTGGGCAGCCTGTTCTAATGCTCTGCCACCCTCAATGTAAAGAGGTTGTTCCTCACGATGAGGTGAAATTTCTTGTGTTTTAGTTTATGGCCATTGCTCCTCATCCTGTCACTGAGCACCACTGAAAAGAGACTGGCACCATCCACCTGGCACCTGCCTTTGAGATACTGATCTGCATTGATGAGATCCCCTTTAGTCTGCTCTTCTCTGGACTAATTAGGCTCAGCTCCTGCAGTCTGTCCTCATAAGAATGATGCTCCAAACCCCTGATCATCCTTGATCATCACTGGCGCTCCTCAGTCTTCTCCTCCTCCCATGCTCACTACTTTGGTCTCCACAAAGACAGAATAACAGAGTCCCAGGCTGGTTTGGGTTGGAAGGGAGCTTAAAACTCCTCCAGCTCCAACCCCTGCCATGGGCAGGGACCCCTTCCACTAGAGCAGCTTGCTCCAAGCCCCTGTGTCCAACCTGGCCTTGAACACTGCCAGGGATGGGGCATTCACAACGTTCTTAGGCAATCTCTTCCAGTGCCTCACCGCTCTCACAGTAAAGAATTTCTTCCTTATATCTAATTTCATTCTAAGATCATTCACCTCTGAAGAAGGCACCAAGACCTTCAAGAAGAGGTGTCAAGGAAAAAAACACGGTGCTCCACAGTGGAACACCTCAGCCCGCAAAGGAATTACATCCATAAATAACCTGCTCTAACAAGTCTTTGTGTACACAAGAAGCACGAAGTAGCCCCAGTTTTTCTCAGTCCTATTTGTGCCTCCTAACGCGGGGTGAGGCTCTCTCCTGATCCCTGTGTCCATGGGCTGGGATTCTCCAAGTTACTTGACACAAACCAGAGCCATGGCCCGACCATGCTGGGAGCGTGTGGCTCCACAACCGGAATGAACAAGAAGAAAAAAGTATATAAATGACATATTTCATCCTCCTCTTTTGTGGCTTTTATTTTCTTTCATATTCGCTTTGGGAATAACATTCTTTCCATTGGGAAGAGCCTGATTTTTCCATTAAATACAAAGCAGCTGCCATTTTGGAAACAAAAAGTTGATTAAATACAGATCTTTTATATATTCTTCCCTAACGTATGAAGTGCTAGAGCCATGCTTCTTTCTGCTGATTTATCAGGGAAGAGCATCTGCCAACTATGGCAGTAGGAAGACTTAAAGAAAGTTAATGGAATTGCTTCATCTTTGCTATATAGTTTCATCATTCTAATTGGATGTTATAAATAAAAGGGGAAAGATCTCAAGGCTTGAAGCACAGCACGCGGCGCCCCGACACATTGACACCAAGGGTTTCTCAACCCTTTGCACACACAGGGATGCTCCAGATTCCCTGTTTACGCAGATTCCTGCTTGCTGGGATGCTCAGGGAAGGGTCGGCACGTTGCTGTGACGTACGGCCGCCAGTTGGAAACGCAACTCATACATGACTTAAGGCCCAGATGTTGAACAGACTGGGAAAAGGATGACTTCAAAACAAAAGACAAGACTAAAAACCAAAACCCCACCCACTCCATTTCCACTTCATGAGCCACCAACGCCCGATTCAGGAGATATTCTTATTTTCCAAGCAGAGCTGATTCCTGAGTGACCAACACAACCTACATACAAAACTGCAGCTTGTTTTATATTTCCCCCCAAACCAAACCCTACATTGAACGACTGGTTTCAATATTTAGTTGTTATATAGTTTAAAAATAGAGAGAAGAAAAAGACGGATGGTCAATGCCATAGAATTACAGTTACCTTGGGTTATAATTAACCCATTGGGCTCTCCTTATGTATTGCCCTTCACGAAATACAATGCTGAAAGATCATGGCCATCATAAGAAATCCATGAGGATCTGCACTTCTAAATGCTTTTGGTGCTCTCCCTTGACATTATATCCAACTTAAGCTGCAAGATCCACATATCTCTCTGTAGAGGCACCCCCACGATGGTCACGCAACGCCATGCCCTTAATTAGAGCCACTTCAACCACACCAACAACATTCAACAGTGCTCATGCGGCTCCCAGCTCTGAATGATGCGAATGAACTCCCAGCCCTTCTCCACGCAACCTCAATTCAAGTGACCACTGCACAGGGACCCCAAAGGATATTGCACATGAAGGGTGGGCTCCTCTAGGGCAGGTGGGTCTCCTCCCATGGATAGGAAGATAGCTGGGGGCTTTGGATGCAGATGCGTTCATCAACGTTCCTTCACATGTTCACAACTTAAGAAGAACCTTACAAGGTTTCAGGTCACCAGTGGATAAAAGAACAGGAAAGCATAAAATTGCAGTCTATTGTTTTACTTAAATTAAACTAAAGGGGATAAAAATACCCCAAACCAACTCATCTTTCAACTTCTGTTAGGGTTTTTGGAAGGTAGAGGCTGCTGCTCAGGTGCAGGAAGCAGGCACGTTTGGATTCCTTACACAGAGGATGCATTTTTGGCTGCCGAATCCCCTGTACTACACGTCTGTATGCACGTGCATGCAAAAGTGAGCACAAAATAGCTTTATAAATCTTAAGTTTGTAAAATAAAGATCAAAGCCAACCATGCCAACGTGACTACGCAAAGGGAAGCACTACCTAGGGAAGCATGCACACCCTGGTTTAAAGGATTTATGGGACTGGGCATTTTAGTTTCAATTAACTTTCAAAGTGCTGAAAGCAGACAAGAAACCATGTAATTACAAGATAACCTGGCTTACCCAGATTCGAGTTAACTAGGGCCCCTGGGTTAATCAGAGGTCAACCTTCTCCCCAGCCAACAAAGCCAAATCCACTGCATTTGAATGCTTTGCTCCTTGTTTTAAAGCAACCATTAGCTCTTGTTTCTAGCCCTTCATTTTGGTAAGTATCTGGGATTTTGGAGACACTTGAGAAGACCCAGGAAAACAATGCCCAACCAACAGACCGCAGCAAGGGACCACACAGCCACCAGCCCATCTTCTCCTCACCAAAACACCTCTTTTAAGAGCATTTTGCCCAAGCTTCAGGACAAGCTGCTCTGTGCAACCCTCCTATGAGACTCACATCATCTCTCACAAGCTCCCTGAGGACCATACAGGGAGGAATTGGGATGCTTCCCATGCCCTGTCCGTGTCTGCATCCCAGGCAACTCGCCTTGATTTTACGTGTCTGTATCTACACCAAGAAACTCCCAGGATTAGCCACAACTGCTTCCCACCAGGCAGTTTAAATTCTGTTACAATCACTCCTTTGTCTTGCTATTTTGTGCAATCAGATTTTTATTCGTCACTCTCTTTTAGACAGATTAGTGATTTATTTCCACCAATTCACACCAGCTACCTAGAGAACAGAAAATTAGAAGGGTTAAAAGGAAAACTAGAATCTGTTGCAGTTAAGAACAAAAGCAACTAAGAGCAGGCAAGCAAAGTCCCACCATATAAAGGGATTACTCCATCCCTGACCCTTTCCAGGGGACCTCCAGGTATTATTTTTCATTGATTTACCTTAATGAAACTAATGCACCCCTCTCCGTAGGAAGCTGACTCCATAGCTGTCTAGGCACTGGATTCAATTAAAGAAATAAATACATCTGGCTTCTAAATGGTTGAAAAGCCAGAGGCAATACCACTTCTTGCATCTGTCTCTCTTAGGGTACGCCCTAAGGACACCACGTAGGATGCTCGACATTCAACACCGCTCCTGGAAGCCCGCGGAAGCAGGGGGATGCCCAAAGCATCCCAGCCTGCTTCCCAACAGCGCGGGCAGCTCCCGCAGCCCTGCCAGCAGCCGAGCCACGGCTTTGATGGAAGCTGGCCTCAAATTGCTTTAACAAGGCTCTTTCTTTCCAGAAGCTGGCGTTGATTTGAGACCTCGATGTTGACTTAGAAACCCCCAGGTGCCTAAAGCCTGCAAACAGTCAAGGCTTAGCTATGCTCAGTTTCCAGGAAAAGGGGTACAAGCATCCAACCGTGGCATGAAATATCAATACTACCATGGCAGCTCAGCATTAAAACGGAGAGCAGGGGTTAAAGGTGGAAAAGCAGAAGCTGGGGTAGAGGCGACACCTCCGCGCTGGCCGCATCTCACAACCGCATCGAGCAGGGCTGCACCAACATAAAACAAGGCACGCTTTGCTCACACGTGCCTTGGCTTGCAGACATGGGAATGGAGGAAACAAGGTAGCTCGAGAGCACTTTGTTTGCAGTCTATCTGTGGAAATGCTGCTGCTGCTTCTCCCGCACATGAAACAAGCAGGAATGACAACAACCAGAGGGCTTCGTTGAACCAGAAGGCAGGTCCGAGAGGTCTCCATCACTTTCTTTGTGCTAATTGCCCTAATCCAAATAGGAACATTCAAGCATCCACACTGTTTTCTGGATAAAACACTATTCTACCCCTCTAGCTGGAGGGAACTTAGCAGTCCAAGACCCAGGTCGGAGCACTCAGAGCAGAAGGATCATCAGGTTGAAACCCCATGGGGGATTTGTCTAACAGAATACAGGGAGTGAGGGGGGACTTTAGAAAGAGCTTTCCTCTTTCAAGCAGAGGTTGAAGATCCCATCAAGCTTTCCCTAATAACACACATTTCCCCTAATTCCCCACACATTTAGAGATGCATGGGGGATAAAAGGAGGCAGTTAAATGCCATGTGCTCTAAAAGCAGCAATTTAGCAATGCTACTGCAACAGCGTGCTTGCAGGTGACCCCTCCGGAAGGGAACCCTTTTCCCAGCTCTTGTATTTATCCCATTGATTTAAACTTCTACTCAGCCTTTTCCTTTCCTCCCTTCCATGACTAAGGACCTTTTCTGGTTCAACTCACCCTCTTCACATCTGAGGTGCGAGCAGAGCAGAGCAGACCAAACGCGTGCGACACGCAGTCTTGTACTCACCGACATTGTAGAGTGGACATCTACATCCCCCTACAGAGGACAACACAGGATGTTTAAAGTCAAATGCAGAAGAGAGCAAAGCAATAGCAAGAAAGGCAGAGAGTCACATTGGTCACCACCCAGAGGTGCCTACAACCAATCCATCAATGCTTTAACCAAGGACCAGCTGCTTGACAGTTAGCTGAGTATTAGTAAAGCAAAATAAGGGCTCTTTGAACCCAGTCGACAGAGGATGAGGAGGAAATGAAAGTACCACAGGACAAGTTTTACTGCCACTAAACATGTTCTGCAAGTCAACATCCATGTCCCTCAGCTTTCCCACCTGTAAGATGGAGATGATGGATGTCAAACCCTCGTGAGTAACAGCAGGGACCAGCTCAAGGCAAAATTCCTCAGCTCTTCTGAGTGCATGGGCACGTTATCTAAGTACACACACAGGACCTGTGCAAATCTAAAGACAGTGTCTTTGGTGCTTATACAATGTCTTTGTGATGGTTATTTTCCACTTGGGTCCCTCCCAACACGGTCAAGGTTGCGACTGGTGCAAAGTTCAAGGCATTTTACTTCCATGCACAGTGCCTTTGAAAATATTAGAGAGTGATTTGGCTTTTTAAATAAAAAAAAATAGGCAATCGTTCCCTTTAAAAGAAAAATAAAACACTTTGAAAGCTCTTTCAACCAAAGCAAGAGATGCTGGGGCTCGAGTATTCATCTGAAGCAGGGAGGAGATGCCAACACGGTGAATAAGGCACAACCGTTGCAGGCAGAGCAGCCGCAGCGTTCGCGTGGCTCCAGCTGAAATCTCTGCCTGCCATCTGGCAAAAAATAAGCACAAAAGGAAGCAAAAAAAAGCCCCAAAAAACAAACCCCAAACCCCTTTTGCAGAGAGTTCACACTGAACCGCTCAAAGACGGCAGAGGTTAGAGTCTGCTCGATCGCTGAAAGATTGCTTCCCTTTCCCGGGTCAGCATCACCTCTTGACCTGCCCTGATTACCTCCAAAGGAGGTTATCAAGATACAAGACTAACAGAGGATTAAAGGAAACCTAAAATAAAAACAAAACACCCCCCTTTTCCCCCAGCCCTGCTCCCCTCCCCCAAGAAAACATCCTTGCTTTGTTAACCTGACAGTTCACTGTAGGTGTTGACACAACCCTCCATCTCCGAGAAGCTTAATGTCAACAAATCAGTGTGTTTGGAGTAGCCCTGTCAATGCGATTTACATTAACTTGTCTAACAAGAAATAAAAACAACAAGCAGCCATCAAAGACAAAAGGCTTTTTCAGTCATTCTTCTAAAAGTATTACGCTGGAAATGTTCATTTTTGGAGGCCCTTTACTTGCTGAAAAGCAGAAACCACCTTTTTTTTTTTTTCCTAAAATACTTTTTTTTTTCTCCCTAAAGTATTTTTTTCCTTTAAAAAATAAAAAGTATTTTCTTTTAAAGGAGGCCCGAGCATCCCTTACTAATAAGATCAGCAGCAGCAGTAACCAACTCTCCCTGGTTAACGCAGGAAGAGGGCAGCCTCGAAGCCAAATGTTCATTGTGCTTTGATTCCCGCCAGCGTTTTATGTCTTTGGAGACATTTGGGGCACTTTGTGGAGCATTTTCAAACTGTGGCTCTAAACCACCATGAAAATTCCATGCAGCAGTGGCATGCACCAAAACCCCATTAACTTCACCATGAACTTCTCCTTGCCCCCCACAGGCACGCGCCGTACCCACCAGCATGCCCTTCACAGATGGGGGCTCAACATCCCGAGGCAAAGCTGCAAAAAGCAACTTGATTCCAGGGATTCCTAATATCGAGTGGTTTCCACCAGCTCCCACAATGTCTACTCTGATGCTCTAAAGGAAAAAATAGGGATTGCAATTCCTGCTTGAACACTACAGGAAGTGGAGACCATGGCACTCCACCAGCCAGGACTAGCTTTGTGCTGGGTTACTCTTCCATGGGTCGGACCAGTTGACCCGGTTGCTCAGAGAGCTGGTAGATGCCCTATCCTTGGCAGTGCTCAGTGTCTGGTTGGACAGGGCTTGGAGCAATCTGTTCTAGTGGAATAGACATGCTACTCATGGCAGTGTAGACTGGACTAGCTGACCTTTAAAAGTCCCTTCCAACCCAAACCATGCTAGGATCCTATGGCCTCCAAAGGTCCCTTCCAAACTTCAACCGTTCTGGGATTCCCTCCAGTAAATACAGATCAAATTCCACCTCCTGTATCCAAAAAGGGAAACACAAAACCTAATGCCCAAATCTTTGCTCAGAGTCACCTTTCAGCTCGCTCAGCATCTCTGCTCCTCTTCACCCCCTCTCCAAAACACTGACTTGAGTCAACCGGACCTCTCAAGGCCATCTGACCTGCCTTGCAGCAAGCTGGAGCCTTGACCCCAGAAAAGTTTCCTGCAGACAAGGAGCCCCATCCGAGACAATGGGATTACTCACACCCTTCATGTTAAGCAGCCGCCTGCATTTTTGCAGGCTCAGGCCTTTCAGCTCCATCCTATTACAGGACAGCACTTTTTGTTGGTGTAATTTTAGCACAGCAACAGCAGACAAGCCCGGGCCAAGTTTCTTTGATCACCAGGTGAAGGTTTTTTCTTGGTGTAATTGCTGCTGTGACAAAAGGCAGGTGAGTAGCTTGGCTCCTGCCACTTACTCATCTCCTGAGCCTGCCACTCTGCCTCTAAAAAACAAGTTCCAACACTAGGAAAACGCTTTTCACTCTTAAAATTGTGCAAATTCAACACAAATGTACCCAGTTATCACCTCTGGAAGACAGGGGAATTCCCAAGCCAGCAAAGGACATGAGAACAGAAAGGCATGTGGTGTTGCGCTGAGTCCACCTCCAGTAATGAGAAGATGCTCCAAGGATTCCCCATCCAAGGACGGTGCACAGTTACTTGCTTTCCTTTCTGAGCTACTGGCAGTCTGGAAATTCTACATTTTATAGCTGGACCAGGCTGCAATCTCATTTTAAACAGGGCAGCATCTTCTTTTGGATCATAAGGCTACAGAGCTAATGATTTGGGCCAGATCTGAACCAGCAGTATACGAATAGCACTACCAGCAATCAAGCAACATCCTCTTATAGATATCACCATTTCTGGAGATAGTTCCTTTCCCTCATGAACCCCTTTCACTCTTTCCTTTCACCAATAAAGCTCATCCAGCAGTTTTGGTGCTTTCACAAACATCATCATTTTCCTGTATTGCTCTAGACATGGGCTTCTCCACACCTTATCTCCTACCTCGTTTAGCCAAGTGCAGACATTTTAATCTGTTTCTATCAAGCCACTGGAAAAAGGCCCTTGAACCCTACAAGAACAACCCAGCAGAGACACCAAAGGAGTTGAGCACCTTTTAGATGCAGCCTGATTCTTCCTGACTCGCTCTCACACACCACTGCCTGCAAGGGTACGCAGGGACCCATCAGCAATGTTCAGTGACAGCATCTTCAGAGCACTCCTTAAAGGAAGAAACTCAAATACACATAAAACCCCCAGACCTACATCTCCTACAAACCATTGCACCAGATCTACAGCTTCACAAACCAGATTGCAGCACCTGATTGACTTGCCTCCCCTATCTCCTGAGGCTATCAGGAGGATCAGTGTCCTACAATGCTTTGAAGATAAGGTGCTCCACCGCAAATACAAACAGCCTTCCCCTGGGCTGGGTCCTTCCTAATCCAGTTCTGGAAGAAAAAAGGCTGCTTCAATCTGTCTTGGTTCTTTTCAGACCAATCAGCTGTCCTCCCAGCCTCCAAAACAATCCTGACTCACTCAGAAAGGACACATTAATACCTAAGGAAGATAAATCGCTCCAGGTCCATCTCATAAATCACTGTGGGCATCTCTCCCCATCCTCATCTCTCCTGCTAGCCATGCTTCATGCTCTGGTGCAGAGACCAATCTCCCTGTCAAATTCCATTACTTGCTTGCATGAGTAGTCCTAGTATGATTTGTAGAACTGGTCTACATCTACTTGTAGAATGGACATCTAATTGTAGAATGGAGCTACACCTCCTTTCTTAAGGAGGAATCCAGCAGTTGAAGAATCCAGCCATTTCCAAGCACCTCCTGATCCAGAGGGCACCAGCCACACTGCTCAGGGCTGCCAACAGAAGGGACATTTTGGCAATAAACCTGTCCTGAACAAGAAGATGGATGAAAGCCCTTCCAACCTCTCTGCACAGGAGCTGCATTTTATTTAGCAGTTTGTTCTAGTGACACCAGAGCCAAATAAGCACCTTCCCCTCACCAACTCTGGCTGTAGAGCATCGGGAAAACCCTTTCATTTCTCTCTTGGTGGCTTCTCCATCCATAGCAAACAAATCCTCATTTCCATATTGCTACCAAATCTTCCTGACAGAGGCAGCCATATGAGACATGGAGAGACAGGACCAGGGTGAATGGCTTTAAGCTGCCTGAGGGGAGACTGAGATGAGCTCTTAGGCAGAAGCTCTTCCCTGGGAGGGTGCTGAGGCGCTGGAACAGGGTGCCCAGAGAAGCTGTGGCTGCCCCATCCCTGGCAGTGTTCAAGGCCAGGTTGGACACAGGGGCTTGGAGCAAGCTGCTCTAGTGGAAGGGGTCCCTGCCTGTGGCAGGGGTTGGAGCTGGAGGAGCTTTAAGGTCCCTTCCAGCCCAAACCATGATAAAGACATGAGCTATACAGAGGGCTGCACAGCTCTGGGGCTGTAACACCTCCTAAAACTGCTCTGAAGGGCTGGAACATCCTTCCAGTAGAGCAATCGCAGTGGTATAAACCAGCAGAATGCAGTGAAGAAAACCACCATTGTGTATTACTAGTCTTTTTTCCTGTTTATATCCAAGCTCATGAGAGATGCCCAGTGCGTGCTGGTGCACTATAGCCCTGGGCACCCAGTAACACCAAATAAATAACAGTCAAGGAAGGAAGAAAGATCTGAAGTTGCTTTTAGGACAAATATAGTGTTCAGTGGATTTGCTGTTACAAAATACCTGACAACTGAAGATACTCTGGAAATATATATCCAGACAGCTCCCAACAAATCCTATTTAAAAGGGGGAAAAAAAGCTCTTTGAGCAAAAAATGGAACTCCCTGATGGTTATATTTTTTCCTATTCAATGGGACACTCCTCAGCCAAGTGCAATAAAGCAACATAAAATACATTTCTGATCGCAATAACAGCATAAACACGGGCCTATTTTAGACAGCAGAGAAAAGAAAGAAACATATGCTGCTTTCCAAAGAGCAACATTCTGATGTAAGGCATCCAGTGACCTGACAAACATTTGGAAGTGTATCTGCAATTCAAGTAATAGACACCCATACACTGGCATGTCTTGAAAAGGATCTTGAACATCCATTAATCTGAGTTAATGTATCTAAGATAGAGGTGGCTGGTGAATTATGGTCCTTCTTCTACATGGTGGACTGTGTAAGCAGACTTGAAAATACCTGGAGAGACTCCCACTGAACACCAGCTTCTGGTAACACATAGGTTTCACAGGATCATAGACTGGTTTGAGTTGGAAAGGACCTTGAAGCTCCTCCAGTTCCAACCCCTGCCACAGGCAAGGACCCCTTCCACTAGAGCAGCTTACTCCAAGCCCCTGTGTCCAACCTGGCCTTGAACACTGCCAGGGATGGGGCAGCCACAGCTTCTCTGGGCACCCTGTGCCAGCGCCTCAGCACCCTCACAGGGAAGAGCTTCTGCCTAAGAGCTCACCTCAGTCTCCCCTCCTATAACTTGTTATTTCACAACACCTGATGGTCCAAGGCCCCATTTTCATCCCACTCCATAGAGCTTGAGCAACCACTAGTTTCAACAGCACCATCAGATGTCCCTCAGCTGTAAAATGAAAGCAAACTGGTGGAGGTGACTTACCGGGAGGTGGGTGAACACCGCAAACGTGCTGCGTAGAAAGCCAATGAGATCTGTAAGGTAGTCGCTGGCCTTGCTGCCCGGCTCCATGGCCATCCAATCGTAGTCTGCCAGCTGCAAGAACTGGTCTATCTTCTGGTTCAGGTTGGTGTAAATCTCCTCCTCAGCAGCATGGCGGGCGTCCTGGGCAACAAGACAACACTCCATGGAACGGAGTCTCCGTAACAACAAGCCTACACACGCAACAGGACATCGGCCCAGTCTCCAAAGGCAGCACAACACAGAGCATCTGTAGGTACCTACATGGCCACTACAGCCTCAGGTTAGCTGAGACCAGGTTAGTGCGAGGCAAGATCAAGCTGGTGTGCCTCTGATCCAACCCAGGGACCAGGAGGACACATCTAGTGCAGGATGAAAGAGAGAGATGGAGGAGGAATGTCTCATATGAAAACAGGCTGAGACCCACCAAATTCCGGGTAGGTTTGCAGTACAGGACAGCCTGCCTGAATAAGAATAGGAAAACTTATCCTTAGGCCAAAGAGTTAGGTGATGCCAAAAGGAAAATGAATGGACTTCCCTGGAGACATGGGGCCTTAGTCACTGCTGAGTTACCCTAAGGGCAAACCCCACCTAACTTGTTCCCTATTGTTACTTAAATCCTCAGCACTGTTCCTGTCTCCTGCTCTCCACAAGACACAACCCGAACACCCCACAGGTGACTCAATTATAGAATCACAGAACAGAATCACAGAGTGGTTTGGGTTGGAAGGGGCCTTAAAGCTCACCCAGTCCCAACCTGGGCCACGGGCAGGGACCCCTTCCACTGGAGCAGCTTGCTCCAAGCCCCTGTGTCCAACCTGGCCTTGAACACTGCCAGGGATGGGGCAGCCTCCAAGCCCCTGTGTCCAACCCGGCCTTGAACACTGCCAGGGATGGGGCAGCCACAGCTTCTCTGGGCACCCTGTGCCAGCGCCTCAGCACCCTCCCAGGGAAGAGCTTCTGCCTTACATACTCCCTAAATCTTCCCTATTTAGGTTTAAACCCATGACCCCTTGTCCTATCACTACAGCCCGTGATGAAGAGTCCCTCCTCCAGCATCCCCGTGACGCTCCAAAGACCAAACCCAAAACCTAATCTGATGGCACCAGGTGCCCAGGATATGACAAAACTACCTCTCAGCTCAGCTTAGCTCCCTACATCCACCCATCCCCACACGTGCTCTGAAAGCAGATACTCTCCAACCAAACATCAGCTCTCAGGGTGGATCTACCAAGCCTTCTCACCTTGAAGGTTGTGGTCCCGTAGAGTTTCGTGGTGTGGACAGTTTCTGGAAGCACATTAGTGATATTGGTTATGAATTCCTCTAGGAACTTGCAGGATTTCTCCAAATGGGTCGTATTTATAATAATCTGTACAAGCTGCAAAGGCAAAAGAGATGTTCAATCGTTGTGCTCCTGACGCCAGGGACGTGGCAGCTTGATGGATGCCAATATGGAATCACAGAATAGTTAGGGTTGGAAAGGACCTTAAGATCATCCAGTTCCAACCCCCCTGCCACGGGCAGGGACACCTCACACTAAACCATGGCACCCAAGGCTCTGTCCAACCTGGCCTTGAACACTGCCAGGGATGGAGCATTCACAACCTCCTTCTGGCACGAAAAGCTGCTGCTGTACAAATACACTAAGCTTTTCCACATGCTCAAAAGCTTTCCTCCTTTAAGAACATCAGAAACTTAAATAAAAGATAATTTGGGGGGGGGGGGGGAAGCATTTCCCATGACAGCCACTAATACCACAAAGGGTTATTTATTTTAATGACTTTCCTACATTCAGCTATCAGTCAGTGCTTGCTTCAGCACAGGTCAAATACAAGAGGCTTGCCAAAAAATGCCATGTCAAATCACAAGTGTTCCAGCTGCTGCTGAACCCCAAGTAACCCGTATCTTGAGTGACACCAACCAAGCTCATAGCGAGGCATTTAATGAAGAAACAACTAGGTTTTCCTTTGGGGAGGGTGAGCATCAGGTCTCACCCTGGTGTCTTCTCAGTTATCATACCCACCCTTAGTTGCCATTTCCTTACTGCTGTCATCTCGTCTGCCTTCCCATGGCGCTATTTCAGGCCATTAAAGGTAACTACAGTGTAAAAACCTCTGCTGAAGTCAGTCAACATTTACAGGCAGATGTCACCAGGCATTTACAATCCAGAGCAAACCAATCCGGGCTTCCACTTGAGGACCACTCACTTGGAAGCACCATTCATCCCTTAAGCAGATAGCTTTCTCCCAAGCAGGCTCCTGTGAATGTTTTCAAGGTGCAACATCAGCTCTAACAAAGCCTTTCTACACAACACCTAGCTCAGCTATCCCGACCAAAACAGTTCTCTTACAGACACTGAAAGCATTATAATGCTCCAGATTGCTATAATTGATTGCTGAAGTACAGGGTGGCAGGCTGCGGACACCTCTCTACAGAAAGGGTTTTGAAACGCTCACGAACGCTCTGAATGAGATGGATTAACCAGCAATTCGAGTGCTGCAGGCACAGAAATACTGAAGCAACGCCACACAGGTTACAGCACCCAACTCTTGCACGTGCCAGATGGCATGAGAAAGGGCAATGGTGACGGTCTGGGAGGTTCAGCTTGGATATTAGGAAGGAAAAGAGTCATTATGAAGGGAGTGCAGAACTGGAAGAGGGTGTCCTTAGAAGCTGTGGGACCTTTGTATGGGAAGCATTAAAAGTTGGGTAGGAAAAGCCACAGTTGACATGCTTCAAGTGAGCAATGACCCCACTTCCATACCAAGCTAGATACCTCCAGAGGTCCCTTCCAGCTAACATTTCTTTGATTTCCATCAGACTTTGTCATTAATAAATGAAATTATGATCTATTTGAACTCCTCTTGTTTTGTACTTGTTCCATTAAATGTATTACACAGATAGCTGAGAGGGCTTCTCACTTCTGAATTCCTTGGATTAGTTTTGTTCTCAGTTTTTGCCTTCAAACAAGCGTTTCCCTGTGTCAGATAGCTCTGACATCGTGACCACGATATGCTCTCCTATAAAGCTAATTAAATACTGGCTATTTCCAACTGTGTGAAATCTCTCCTAAATCTTTTCATTGATCATCACAATTTAGTTGTCCAGATTGCTATCACGTTTGAAGGCCCTGATTGCTTTGATTCTCTTCCACCACTTGCTATGGGCTTTCCTGATAACTCTCTGCCTCCTGCAAGTTGTGATCTTCTCTTGAATTCATTTGGGCAAGACCTTCTCATTGGGGTATTCAAGTGATTAAAACAGGAGCATCTTTTCCCTCTTTTTTGTTGAGAGATGTCAGGGTTACTCGAAACACCAGGGTCACTTGGAGCAGACTTGGGAACAAACTTGGTAACAAACTTCAACCTCCACACCTAAGAGTTAGCCCACAAAAAACAGCAATGAAAACTAACCCAGAGGACAACAGACCAGGAAGGCCAGTGCACAGCCTTGTATTACCTTGTCCACTGCTTGGAAAACCACATTGGAAAACTCAGATATGGATGGTGTTGCTTTGTACAGAAACTAAATCTGGGAGGTGACAGTCATAAAAGGTACTTAAATATCTTCTGCAAAAACTTCTGACACCAGGACTATGCTCATACAACCTGGGATTTAATTCCTGTGCTCCACAGTCACACCAGCGTCTTAAGAGGAGAAGATTTGAGCAACTCAGAAGAGCACCACCATGTGCTTCCCTATGGACAAACAGGTCAATGGTTGCACGAAGAAAAGAGGCAGGAGGGGATGAAGATGCTCCAAGTGGGTTTTCTTCAACCAAATTAGAAATACAATGGTGGCACAGGCAACCCCAGGAGAGAGCTGGTGGTACCTTGGCAAGTGGTAAGGAATAAGAAGATGAAAATATGACATCCAGAGATTGACCACCAGCCATATTAAACCTTTTACTTGAAACTTGGGTCATGCTACATAAGCTTTCCTAGCAAAAATCCTCTTCAGCTCTAAAGCACCTGAAGAAGCCACTCTCAGCCCAAAGAAAGGCATCACCTTCCCTCATCACGGAAGATGCCATCGACACCATCTAAGCTGGGCAGAAGCTGCAAGGGGACTGTGCCACTTGGTTTGCCCTTCCTACATTCAATCACACTGCAACAGCAGTTAAAAGGATCATCTGGGGGATGGACATGCAGGGATAATGTTGCATTCCTCTGTGGAGGGAGCCCTGGGAGGAGCAGGAGGGAAGAGGAATTTGCCCCCGGGGAGCAGAGAGATTCCAGACAGTGAGATAAAGGGCTGAGGAAGCATCACGTGTAAATACATACCACTGTAAATGCACTGAACTCTCCTAAGCTCACCTCCACAGGGTATTTAGAGTGTCCAGAGAGCAGGACACATTTCTACAGCACAGTCCATTAAACAACTGCAGCTGTATTAACATCTACTTGTTTAATAACAGCACACAGAGGTCCCACTAAGGTATCAAACCACCCTGGGTACCACACACATTCCCCAACAGCCAGGATTTACATGCAGTAAGCCTTGCAGAAACCTGACTTTGCACACAAAAAAGTCTCAGTTGTGAAAAGAAAATACCAATACAGAGTTTGCACTGCAGCAACGTGCTGAAACTGCCTCCAAACATCACCTATAGGTGGGGACCTGTCCCAGTTCCCACTTGGCTCTTCCCTGGCGCTCCTTGATGTCCTCTGACTTTAATTCACATGGATAATGACCCATTAATTTAGAAGATGGGTAATGCCAACAGCAATAGCACAGCTTTCCCACAATACAAAGTGCTCTTCCTTTGCACAGCAACGCTGTGTGGTTCCACTGCTGCTTCCCAACCAAATACAGCAGCAGAAGGCTCCACAGCAGCACCTCTAAAGGTGCTGTAAGGAGTCCTGAGGACCGAACCCCCTTTCTGACACCCGGCCCACCTCAAAGCCAGGTCCTACCTCCGTCAGCCCAACGTTCTTCCTCTTGATGACGTTCTGCAAACAGTTGCTCAGGGTTCGGGTCAGCAGCAGGTTTGTGGATTTTCTGATCATGTCATCGACTTCCGTGGAGCTGGAAAGTGGAATTCAAAGAGGTTTGCAAAATGCTCCGTGAACGGAGAAACTCTTGAGCCCTCATCACCCAATCGCCTTCCCAACCCTCTTCGGCCTTACTCACGATGCTTGCATGCGCTGACATACTAATATATACCAAAATGTCAACAGTTCGGGTCTTTTTGTCTATGGGTCCATAAGGAAGAGGGGCTAAAATGAGCTAAATCGACATCACTCAGCCCCTTAAAGGGACTGGTCCAGCACAGCTTGGCTGTAGAATCAGCATTAACCCACACAGCCAAGCCACCACCTAGCACACAATGCTGGAGGTCTGCACATTCAGTACACAAGGGGAAAGGGATGAAAGATGTAACTGGGGGGAAAAAGGAAATTAACCCCCTCAAAATGCACCCACCCCCCCATTACCTTCTCACAGCATTTTAAGTAAAAGAAGGCTCCAGGGAGACCTTAGAGCAGCTCCAGTGCCTAAAGGGGCTGCAGGAAAGCTGGAGAGGGGCTTGGGACAAGGGATGTAGGGACAGGCCAAGGGGAATGGCTTGAACCTGCCCGAGGGGAGACTGAGATGAGCTCTTAGGCAGAAGCTCTTCCCTGTGAGGGTGCTGAGGTGCTGGCACAGGGTGCCCAGAGAAGCTGTGGCTGCCCCATCCCTGGCAGTGTTCAAGGCCAGGTTGGACACAGGGGCTTGGAGCAAGCTGCTCCAGTGGAAGGGGTCCCTGCTTGTGGCAGGGGTTGGAGCTGGAGGAGCTTCAAGCTCCCTTCCAACCCAAACCAGTCTGGGATTCGATGACAAATCACACTGGAAGCTCTAGCAACACACTGATGCTCTTTGCCAGCTGGCTGCAACCACAACACTGCTGAACTTTAGGGGTTTGGCTTTCTGCTGCTCCTCCACGTGCGCACCAGCAAGGTGCCACCTCTCCTTACTGAAGGAGGCTTTGGAAACCCATCCCAGCACAGGCTCCTTTGATCTGTCATTGGCCCTGCATTAGCCCTGACACCACGGGGCTTTATCTCCAGCAGCGCAGTGACAGGCAGCTGAGGGCAAAGAAAATTCCCAACTGGAAGGCTGAGCAGTGTTATTAACTTTCAGGCTCGTGGTAAATCAATCCCGTGACCTTTTACTCCTTCTCCTGTTTTACCTGACAAATGGCCCAAATTACAAAGCAGGGATTGACATGAGAAACAAAAGCAAAACTTGCAGCTCCCCCCCCTACCAGTGTGAAGGGCAGAGGGTAGTGGGTGCTGTTGGGGTTCCTGTTGGTTGCAGGGATGGGTGCTGCCAGCCCTGGTCCAGCTCGACCCTCCCAGATTTCTGTGCCTATTTAACCCTAGAGCAGATGCACTGTGCCAAGCCTTGGACCTTTGGGTAAAGAAGACTAAACCTTCTCCAACTGCAATAACTGCGGCCATAGCAGCCTTCTGGACACGCTCGTCCTCCCCACGTGCTGCCCAGCCTTCAATCAACCCAACTTTTGAAGTTCTTTGTTCTGCTGCATGAGGATTGCACTCAAATCCCCAAAACTCCCAGGAGAAGCAGCAAATATTGCTCCCCACTCACATCTCGGAGCAAAGTCATGCCTGTACTTCTGCCAGACCAAGAAATCCGTGTCTTGCTGCAGCTTTCCCAAGGAAAACCCAGCTGCACAACTCCCCATGCACACAGCAGCTCCCCACACTCTGCTCCCCAACAGGTTCTTCTAATACTTCCTTCTCCCTGCTGTTCAGAAGTCTGCTTTTGTGAGCTACAAGCCTGCCAAGGGTTGACCACCGTCTCCTTCCCAGTTGGATGCAAGTGGAGCAGGGCCAGCAGGTTAGCAGGACCCAGGTTCCTGATAACTCAAAATCAATCTCATCAGCCAAAGTCTTAGTGTGGATCTCTTCTAGATCATCACTCCTGATGCCTCTGAGTTTATTTCCCTCCTGCTTAGCAGGGAAGCACATCCTGTGCCAGCAATAATCCAGGCTAGCGCACTTCATGTCCCAGATGGTTCCTTCTCGCAGGGTTTTGATGTGCGGCCCAAGGTGATGTGTTTGGGTTTCTCTAATGTATAGAACATGAACAAAAATGGGAGGGAAGAAGAAACCAGCCAATGAATTTTCCTGATCTTTATGCTATGGGTAGGGCTCTCAAACAAGGTTTTACTTAAAGAAAACACCAAAAGAAACCCAACATGTATGCACCCCCCTGCCCTCCATCACCCCCCAGGAAGAACCAGATTGTTCCCAGTCCCCTCCACCAGACAACAGCGTGGTTATATATAGCAAGTCCCATAAAATCTAACCCTGTGATGATCCACAGATGGTAAAAAAGACACTCAAGGAGATTCAAAGCAAAGGGGTGATACAGGGGGTAATGCATGGGACTTGGGGAATGGGGCTGAGGAGCAAAAAGGGCTGGATCCACACTCAAAGGGGGTCAAGAAATAGTTGTACAGGCAGGAAATTACACACAAAGCTGTATCGTTGTACAAGCACCATGCCCCTTTTGGGATTATCCCTGGGAAATCCTGGAATGCAATCCACAGCCTGTCCCCAAGGAAGGTGGGGATGCAGAACGGCCAAGACTGGAAGCAGAGCTGGCAGCTGGAGCTTCCAGCATCGACTGAAACCAAGAAAGCAGAGATGAAAACCATGGGACTGTGGACATGACGTGAGTTTTCCCACTGAACCAACGCAGCAGCCACACAGGTAGTGCTGGAAGAGCTTGCTCTTTGTCATTCAAACATCACCCTGTCATCAGGGCATCAAAATTAAACAAGCCAGTTACTGTCTGGCTGCGTGCACGCTCCAAGACAGTCATGCTCTTGGCAGGAGCAGGATGCTGCCTCTGCCCAACACCACAGCCAGTGCTGATGGCTGCTTTTACTTCTCCAAAGCACTTCAGACTGAGCTTTCAGAGGAGAAGCTCCCCATGACCCGGTGAGTCAGGCTGGCCACAGGGGCAATGGGTGTTAGCCCCTACCTTGCCCAGCACCCTCACAGCTGAAACTATGAACCAAGAAGCAGCTTGAAGAGCCTGGAGAAGAGAAGCTGCGTGGAGACCTCAGAGCAGCCTTCCAATATCTGAAGGGGGCCTATAGGGATGCTGGAGAGGGACTCTTCATTAGGGACTGTAGTGACAGGACAAGGGGTAACGGGTTCAAACTTAAACAGGGGAAATTTAGATTGTATATAAGGAAGAAGTTCTTTACTGTGAGGGTGGTGAGGCACTGGAATGGGTTGCCCAGGGAGGTTGTGAATGCTCCATCCCTGGCAGTGTTCAAGGCCAGGTTGGACAGAGCCTTGGGTGCCATGGTTTAGTGTGAGGTGTCCCTGCCCATGGCAGGGGGGTTGGAACTGGGTGATCTTAAAGGTCCTTTCCAACCCTAACTATTCCATGATTCTAAGGAGTACAGGATGCAGTGCCCAGACCAGCAGGGCCACTTAGCAAAGGGTGATGGTACCAGTAAGGTGTCTGATGCTGACTCCTGAGCTGAGCCTTGGCTCACGAGCCAGGTCCGATCTCCATTCTCCATATGCATCAAGAAGAAAACAAAACCCACAAATATAGTCCATGTGGGCTGCTCACGGTGTATGTTTGATGCCAATTTGATCCATCAGCTTCAAACTGGTAGGAGCTGGTAGTGGTGTGGTTGTTATTGAGCCTACGCACATAGTCTCTAACCACAGAGCACTACTAACACCAAAGCAGTACCACCAACTACACCAAAGAAACTACATTTACCTCCTGTCTCCTACAGCTGATTTCCAAATCAATACTTCCAAACCAGTAACTACTTGCTGTAGTTATTCAAGCCTGTGATCTTTTAATTCCATTTTATTTTTGATAACTTTATGCACTTATATTACGTTCTTTCCCAAGTTCTTCCAGGACTGGTGCTTTGTTTGAACAAATCCCCCAGACCGACCAACCAAAGTCCTGATATATTCAAGCTGGCATCTCATCCTTCCCCCCACTGTTTTCCAAAGATATTCCCTGTCTTTCAAATGGGAAACGTCACTGCCGTGGAAGTTTGGAAGTCTTCCAGTGAGCGGATACTTTTAAAAGGCATCTCCTTGATGAACTTGAGTCCACGCTTCTTAACAAAGGCAAAACTGATGAAAATATACAGGTTTCCCTTCTCCTAATCAAATGAATGGAGTCAGAAAATGTGCAGCCCCCATAACTGCACACCAAGCTCCAAATTTTCCTCAATAAGCAAAGGAACTTTCGCAAGCAGATCAACATAAAGGAGAACGTTCCCGTCCAACAAATACAAGGAGCTGGTTTAAAAGAAGCAATTAGAGAAAGAGAATAAAACACAAGCTGCATTTTCTGCCATAGGCTCTGCTCTGCAGGAAAAGACTGCAGAGTATTTAAAGGAACTGCCTGGGTTAGTGACAGCTGATGTCCCGTATCCCATAGCAGTAGTCATGACCTTCAGGCCCTCCATGACTGACAGGCTGACCCCAATCACTCCAGGGTGCAAGGTAAATGACAACCAAAGAAGAAAAAGAAAGAGAAGAGAAAGAAAACTTGCTGCCGGCTTTGTAGCCAAGCTTCCTAATAAAAACTAATTCAAGCTGTCAGGGTGAAATGAAGAAAGTGTCAACAGGGGTTTGCAGAGAAATATTCCAAATGTTTGCCTAGAAAAGCCAAGAGCTGGGCTCCCTTCCCCCAGCGCAACGCTGCTCCTCAAAAAGGGCTGGAAAATCCAATGTCGAAAGGAATTTTAATAACATATCCAAGGGGACCCCGAGGAGGGACCCAAGGGGACATTTTCCTTCCCTTCCCTGACAAACCCAATCATCTCCGTAATGGTGAAGAGCACAGAGCTCACGAGGGAAGTGCCAACGGAGGGGCTGGGTGAAACCAGCATCCGTGTGAAACAGGACCGCGCTGTCGGCTTGAGAAACCGAGATGTTTCATGGTGACCCCCGGGTTAAGAGCCCTGGGAGCCACCAAAGAGAACAACCTGCCACTGGTGAAAGGCTGAGATGAAATGGGGGGGGGAGAAACCTCCTGGGCTTCCACATCAACCAGTGAGCGACCGCGGCCTCCAGCAGAAGATGGAGAGAAAATGCCTCCCCATATTCCTACCCCTTGCACAGAGGATGAGAATTCAAACCCTGAAGAGCCCTGTGGAGGCCAGTCCCCACAACACTGCCCTGCCTTCACAATACACTGGGGCAATGCCCAGTGTCAGGCCATAGCGAGGGCATGAAGCTGGCAAGGGAGATAAATGCCAGCCACAGTCCAACCTCTCACTAGTACAGTGCTGTGAACAGAAGGGAAGAAGGATCCCTCCTGCCAGTAAAAAGCTTGTTACTCATTTATATCCCTTTATTTATATACCTTTATACATACTTTTATATATACCTTTATATATACACATACACCTTTATTTATTTATCTGTATTTATGTATCTCTACCAAGTTGCAGACACCACTGGGTGCAAAAAGAAAGCACCAGCTTGCAGTTGCTGGCACATATAGCTGTTTTCCAATCTCACACACAAACACACAGGCAAAACCAGCATCACGGCAACTTGGGATGGAGGAAGGAGGGCAAAAACAAGGAATATTTTGTAAGCTTTCAGGAAAAGAATAAATAATCAGGTTATTTGCATAGAAACTCCCATGGGAAACAAGAAAAGCAAAGCCCCTAAAGCAGGGTGAATGAAAACCTCAAGGGCTTTTCCTGGCCATGGGCTTCTTAAGGGACATCCAGGGAGTTGCAGATGTTAGACCAGGCACTGACCCAATGACAAGGGGACATCACTAGCTTTCTTAAGATAACAGATTCATCTATTTAGTACAACTCAATCAGGAACAGTTACAGCGTGGTCCTGGGCTATCTTTCCCTACATGAGGCAGCTATTTTTGAAGTCTTGGCCATCCCTTTGTACATGAAGGGTACATGTACCACTGCAAGGAGACCACCAGCCCCTCCAGCCTGGACAAGGTGTCCAAATAAAGCAGCATGAAGGGTTGAGGGAAAGAATTCATATTTTAGACCTTTTGAGATCACAAAATCCCAGACTGGTTTGGGTTGGAAAGGACCTTAAAGCTCATCCAGTTCCAACCCTTCCACTAAACCAGGTTGGTCCTTTCAACCTGGCCTTGAACACTGCCAGGGATGCTCCAGCGCAGGCAATTCCAACCCCTACCACACTCATCTCCTACCTCAGGTGAAGGTCTTCCGAAAACTTGAGGCAGGCGTAGATGAATTCCTTAATCTGACTGTAAACTTTAGGCACAAACTCAGAAAAGGGGAACTTCTTTGGAAACGGCTGCTGTAAAACACAGGAGAGGATTCAAGTCGAGGCGCAGACACTGAACAGGAGTGACGAGTGCTTTCCAGCAACGTGTTCCAAGCAGCCAAATCAATTCTAGTGTTTAGCTAAGTCCAGCCATGAAACAACAAGCCAGCATTTATTGTATATTACATAAACACTTCAGCCAAGTGAAAGACCAGATAATCACTTACAAACGGCACATGGGTGCAGAAGGGATTTGGAGGCTGAAACAGGGCTGGAAGGAGACTTGCAGCCAGGAGGGAGCAGGCAGCCCACCAGGACCCTCCTTCCTTCTCCTAACTCGTATGAAAAATCCCCATCGGAGAACAAATTGACTTCTATCTCCCACCGTGCACGCGGTGTTTGGCTTGGTCACCTCCCACGCTTGCTGCCTAAGGTGAGCGCTTGCTTACACCACCAAAAGCCAAGAGGAAACAGATGTTCTACACAAAGCCTTTTCCAACCAGCTTTTACTCACAGGGCCGGGAGGCGCGGAGTGTAATAGTGAGAAGCCGGAGCCCCGATATAGCTCTGGGGGAAGGACACAGACCTCCTGAAATCTAAATACCTGACTTGGATCAAAAAGCCTCCCAGTCCTAACGAAGTTCACCAGGCTTGGAGCTCGCTGGCTGCCAGATGTGCAGCAGAAGGCCAAGCAGGCTAAGGGACACTGGCTAGGTCAGATCTGGCGAGACTTAGGTTTTGCAAGCACACGCTGCTACAAAAGCCAAGATATACCATTTTGTTGGCTTTTTTTTTTTTTACTATAAGAGTAAAGCAACCAAAGATCAACAACAGCTCCTAAACTGGGAATAAAATACCAATGGAAGCAGATATTTCCAGTTTCTTGTCCACTGCAGCTGTAATAGCACACTGTGAGCCGAAAACAAAATCAACGAGGTATCACTGTACGCACTTCCCTCACCCACACCAGAAATACATCATATAGAAAGTGTGTTTGTTCTTTTCCCTTGTTAGGGTTTTTTTTTTGTTGTTTATTTGGTTTGGGGCTTGAGGTTTTGGGTTTGGTTGGGGATTCTGGGATGCTTTCATTCGCAGGTCCCAATGCCAGCTACAAGAGTGTGGGGTTTTCCTGCACCCGCGGCCCCACCGTACCACGTTCCCCATTTCAAGGTTACCTTTTCAAGTTCTGCATCCTGGAATGGGAACTGTCCAACTATTTTCTTATAAACTTCTTCATTCGTCACTGGGATGGGGCTGTAGTTATCTGAATCAAGTATATTTCTAAGGGAAGAAAAGAAAAGTTACAAAGGCAGCCCTGTGATGACAGACCGGCCACAGCTCTGCAGGTTTACTGCTCAGCTGGGAAGCTCTGAAGAAGCAGGTCCCAGTGTAAGATGCAATCCCCTGAGTCTAAGCTTCCCCCCGTGTTTGTGACTGTTGAAATCATCTTTGCTGCAGCCAAACTCATTGACAGCTCCTAGTTTGCTGTCTTCAGCCTGTGTAAAGCCATAACCAGAGCTTAATGGTGATTTTACTCCAGACTGGAGCTTCAGCAGCAGCCCCTGATAAAACCCAGGTGAGCTTCAGTCCTGCCTGAATCAAGACAGGTGGATGCTGAGCTACCAGGCCTTTAACAACCCTCTAGCACCTCCTCCCAATGCTCCATGCTCTGAGATGCCTTAATCCTCCTGGGAGGTCCTAGAGGACCAGCACAGGATGAGCTGGTGGCTGCAGAGCACAGCATGGGATCCTGGATAATAAATATATCATATCCTACCACTGGGCAAATGCTCAGCTCATGGACATGCCCACACCAGCAACACAGGGATATGCCACCGATGTCCCAGGACACACACAGCTCAGTGCTGCAGTGAGGGCACAGAAATGCTGCTGCAACACCAGCTTTTTGCATCCTTCCATCTATTGACTGTCCTTATCCCTCTGGGATGTAAAACCTCTGGTCTACACCGAGTTATTGCACAGATCTCACCATACACAGGATCCTCACAACTGTCTTTAAATTATCTCTCCCTGGTCCAAGGAGAGCCCAGGCCCAAAATTTAAGCATGAGCTTGCTACTAATCAAATCATACCATCAAATGGTTTAGGTTGGAAGGGACCTTAAAGCTCCTCCAGTTCCAACCCCCTGCCACGGGCAGGGACACCTTCCACTGGAGCAGGTTCATAGAATCATAGAATAGTTAGGGTTGGAAGGGACCTTAAGATCACCCAGTTCCAACCCCCCTGCCATGGACAGGGACACCTCACACTAAACCATGGCACCCAAGGCTCTGTCCAACCTGGTCTTGAACACTGCCAGGGATGGAGCATTCACAACCTCCCTGGGCAACCCATTCCAGTGCCTCACCGCCCTCACAGGAAAGAATTTCCTCCTTAGATCCAATCTAAACCTCCCCTGTTTCAGTTTGAACCCATTACCCCTTGTCCTGTCACTACAGTCACTAATGAAGAGTCCCTCCCCACCATCCCTATAGCCCCCTTCAGATACTGGAAGCTGCTCCGAGGTCTCCAATCAGCCTTCTCTTCTCCAGCCTGAACAGCCCCAACTTTCTCAGCCTGTCTTCATACAGGAGGTGCTCCAGTCCCTGATCATCCTCGTGGCCTCCTCTGGACTTGTTCCAACAGTTCCATGTCCTTCTGATGTTGAGGACATCAGAACTGCACACAATGCTCCAAGTGAGGGCTCACAAGAGCAGAGTAGAGGGGCAGGATTCACCTCCTTCGACCTGCTGGTCAGGTTGCTCATCTCTCCTTTATTTATGAGTCAAAACTGCTCTGGAAGTTACATCTTTGTGAGTTTCCTTAAAGAGCTTCTTACCTGAAAACTCCTGACCATTTCTTCAGCAGGGTTTCACTATACTGGTCTTGGATCTCCAACAGCATGTCAAAGAGCTGGTTCACTGGGAAGCCATATCCCTGCAGTGGGTCATGCAAGAGAGCAACTTCAAGTAAGAAAAGCCACAAGCAGGCAGCTGAATATTAGTTTCTCTGTTCAATAGAGAGAAATTCTCCCCTACCACCACCACAGAGATGAATGGTGCTGCAGAAGGGATTTAGGCGAGGTGGTAGCACCAAGGGTTATGGGTCTGTGTGGGGGCAAGAGGCACCAGGACTTGGCAAGGTGGTCAAGGCTTGGTCCTTGCCTATGGGCTGGCCACCTCCTGTGCAGGGAGAACCAGGCTGTCCATCAGGCACCACAATGTCAAGAAAGAAGCCAGGCCACCACAGCAAGCCCTCATCAGGCACTGAACCCCTCTGACTGCACCATCTATGATCGGCACAACACTGAGCAAGACCAAGAGTGGTTACCAACAGCCACGTACCTGCAGTGTGTCTGCAAAGAGGACGATGAGGTTCTTCAAGTCTAACACCAGGCTCGGGTCCGAGCAGTAGGACTGCAAAGAAGGGGAGAAATAACAACATGGTTTGAACTGCAGGAAAAATATTGCCCTCAGCCCTCCTGTATTATCACTGCAGTGATGATAAACCCAGAGGCCATGCAGTCTTATGATCAGCAGCTTTTATCCTCCAGCCCATGCCCTAAGGCTGCACAGGGCAAGGGAAGGCATGCTGATAAGGGTATCTCTCCTCATAACACACCGCTCTTGAGGCTCTCCAGGATGAATAAGGATTGGGGTTGCTCTAGAGATACCTGAAGTGTCTCTAAGATTACCCAGGAGCTGCTGGGGAAGCGAGAGGAGATGAAGCAAATCAGCACGCTGTCATACCAGGACGACAGCAGCGCCTCTCATTTAATATTTACTGTGTTGTGTCTGGTGGCAATGAAGCATCGCAGCAAGGCATCCCCAAGCCCCACGTGAAGGCTTCAATACTAAGTGGTTCAGGCTGAGGAAAACCACTCTGTCTGCCTGTATTTCAGAGATACTAATGCTCAGAGCTACAACACAAGTATTTACTGCGGGTCAGGACACTCCTCAAAGCCCTAAAGATACAACCCGGTGTAGCAATAGTGCTCGTCGTCCTCCCAAAGCCACCCCATGTTACCCACAGGCTTCGTGGGCTCTCTGGACACAGCAGACATCCTCTCTATGCTGAAATACGTAAGGTTTCAGACTGAGTCTAACCAAATATAGAATCAGGGATCATAAGCTGGAAAGAGAAACAGATTTAAAGCTCATGGAAAGTCGAGGAGGAATGACTCCATTAATCAACGTGAAAGAGCAGAAGAGACACATTTTCCACCTCACTGTCCAAAAAAGAAAGTCAGAAAGAAAGATAACACCCTAAAGCTATCAGAAGTGATAAAAGATGTCCCTGGCTGCAGCAGAGAAGAAAAGCCAGGGATATGTTTGGCTGAATGGGAAGAACTGAAGCAGGCTGACCAATGTGAGAGCCCTCCCTCAAGTCTCAACGGCACTGCCCTATGCAGGAGCAGTGCTTAGAGATAAAAGTGATGACCATGATACTGCAACAATCCCTGCCCGTGGCAGGGGGTTGGAACTGGATGACCTTTAAGGTCCCTTCCAATCCAAACCATTCTATGATTTCGTGATTACTGAAAACCCCCTCTCCTGGCAGCCATTTCATGCATTAGGTTTGGCATCACTTAAAACAACTTGTCATGGCAACAAAGCTGGCAAGACTGAAAACCATCGTGTTTGGAGCTGGCTTGTTCTCGTGACTCTCACCTTGCAGAAAACCCCACTTAAAAAGAAAATAAACACAGGTTTAGAACCTAGCGGGGTGTACATCACTGTGTTTATCCCCTTTTGTAACAGAGAAGCTTAAATGGAAGGAGACCTCTTGCAGCCTTCCAGTATCGGAAGGGGGGCCTATAGGGATGCTGGGGATGGGCCATTCTTAGGGACTGTAGTGAAAGGACAAGGGGTAACGGGTTCAAACTTAAACAGGGGAAGTTTAGATTGGATATAAGGAAGAAGTTCTTTACTGTAAGGGTGGTGAGGCACTGGAATGGGTTGCCCAGGGAAGGTTGTGAATGCTCCACCCCGGCAATGTTTAAGGCCGGTTGGACAGAGCCTTGGGTGCCATGGTTTAGTGTGAGGTGTCCCTGCCCATGGCAGGGGGGTTGGAACTGGGTGATCTTAAGGTCCTTTCCAACCCTAACTGTTCTATGATTCTCTGAGGCAGCTTTCCAGTCAGCACAACTGCTGTGCTGGATGGAGCCGGAGCACCCTGGGAAGCCCCTGTGGTCCCTCATCCCAACAACCTGGTCCATCACTTGGACAACCCCTACCTGTGCAGCAGGGAAAGCCAAGCAGCTCGCCAGCAACACTGCCAGAAGGTGACCAAGATAAAGTCATGGGCACCTAAATGCAAAACTCAGTGGGGTTTGGAGCAAGCAGCATTTTGTGTCTCCACACAGAGGGACACCCTCCTGGGCTGGATACGGGGCAAGGGAGGGGATTCTCCCCCTCTGCTGTGCTCTGGGGAGAGCCCTCCCTGCAATCCCGATCCAGCTCTGCCAGAGGGGAGACTGAGATGAGCTCTTGGGCAGAAGCTCTTCCCTGTGAGGGTGCTGAGGCGCTGGCACAGGGTGCCCAGAGAAGCTGTGGCTGCCCCATCCCTGGCAGTGTTCAAGGCCAGGTTGGACACAGGGGCTTGGAGCAAGCTGCTCCAGTGGAAGGGGTCCCTGCCCGTGGCAGGGGTTAGAGCTGGAGGAGCTTCATGGTCCCTTCCACCCCAAACCAGTGTATGATTTTATGACATCTTTATCACTTGGATACCACCACGCGCATGCTGCACCACAGCAGGCGTGGATCTGCACCAACACAACCCTGCAGCATCCTTTTGCTATCAGATGGCACTGCCATCCCCGGGCAGCAGTGGGATCTCAGGGATTTATTACTTTCCTTTTCCTGGACAACATGGCCTGACAATTTGAAAGTGGACTTGTGCACAGTCATGAATGCTTTTGCTTTTATGGTCATTTGGAATTTTTTCATCCCATTAACCAATAGGGTTTTCAGGAAATCCCAGTGCTCCCAGCTGAACCAGTGCAACATTACCTCAGCTCATACAAAATGGGGCAAAAAACTGTGTCATTGTTGCAACTGGCTTTGGAAGTTTTGCTCAAGCAGAGAAATATCAAAGTGATCAGCAATCTTCCCAAACTTCTTTCAGTATTAGAACATATAAAGTCTATTTATTGTCTTTTACACACAAAGGATTTGATAGCAGCCCATTCGCTGCCATGAACTTTAAGAGTTGTACTTCAGTGCGCCAAAGAGAGACTTTTTTTCCCCAGTTTTCCAGCACAATCCGACTCCCTCTGCTGGTGCTTCCCAAAAGTGATCAGCCAAAGAACGGGAAAAAAATCAAAGCACTGCCTTCTTTCTTTCCAGTCACCCAAAACATTGAGAGTTTGGTGCAGGGAAATGCAGAGCATCGAGAGGCAAAAAAAGGACAGAGACAACTTAAGGGGAAAGCTCCCCCTGACCCAGCTTCAGTGAGGGCTTGAGCCCAGAACCTCCCACCGTGTTCTGGTCTGCACCCCCAGAGTGTGAGCAGCAGCTCAGGGAGGGGATCCTGCCCCTCTGCTGTGCTCTGGGGAGACCCCCCCTGCAGTCCTGATCCAGCTCTGGGGCAGCAGCACAAGAGGGACGTGGAGCTGTTGGAGCGAGGCCAGAGGAGGCCATGGAGATGCTGCGAGGGCTGGAGCAGCTCTGCTCTGGAGCCAGGCTGAGAGAGCTGGGCTGGGGCAGCCTGGACAAGAGAAGGCTCCTGAAGGGGAGACCTGAGAGCAGCTCCAGTGCCTGAAGGGGCTGCAGGAAAGCTGGAGAGGGGCTTGGGACAAGGGATGTAGGGACAGGCCAAGGGGAATGGCTTGAACCTGCCCGAGGGGAGACTGAGATGAGCTCTTAGGCAGAAGCTCTTCCCTGGGAGGGTGCTGAGGCGCTGGCACAGGGTGCCCAGAGAAGCTGTGGCTGCCTCATCCCTGGCAGTGTTCAAGGCCAGGTTGGACACAGGGGCTTGGAGCAAGCTGCTCTAGTGGAAGGGGTCCCTGCCCGTGGCAGGGGTTGGAGCTGGAGGAGCTTTAAGGTCCCTTCCAACCCAAACCAGGCTGGGATTCTATGAAACAGCAGCGTTCTTCACACTGTTATTTTAAACAGGATCTTTGGAAAAGAGGCACAACAAAGAATCCCACTGTAAAAGCCAGTATGTCCAGCATGTCAAGTCATACTCAAGCAACAGCTGAGCCACCCGAGGCTTTTACTTACTGAATGTGTTCTTAGAGCTGCAATAGTTTTTGATAATGCCATCTCCCACAGCTCATCAATATAGGCTCTATTTACCAAGCCCTGCGTTGTATGCAAGATGTGATCTTCAACTACAAAAAACCTAGCAGGGAAGAGAAAATGGCACTGTTATCAGAAGTCCCAGGTTCAGAGACATCCAAAGAGATGTTCAAACGCTGGAGGCGAGGGATATACAGCGTTTGCACATCCACAAATCCCCAGAGCAAGCTCAGATTTGCAGTAAGTGCATTAAATATGGTTAATGCTAAACACTTTATCCACCTATTTTTAACATCCCAACATTTTATGATGTTTGGTTTTATGATGTTTGATTTTATGATGTTTGATTTTATGATGTTTATCACTGTATTATATAAGTGACCCACACCACAGTTGCTCCTTGTAATGCCACTGTGTGTATACAAAGGCAGAATTTCCCCTTTCTAAGTTCCCCACCCCGTTATTTCAACAAGAACCACTGATTAAACTCTGCTCCAGTCAGCAGCAAGCACATTACAAGTGGTTAACTGCAGGGAAGAATGCTCTATCCACAGGGAAAACGACTTTAAGTGTAGGGAAAATACCCTCTCGCAGCGGGATACCCCACAGGCTCACGACTATTTCAAGGCAATCAGTTCACTCCAATCTCCAGTTATCAAACAGCCTGGCCAAAAAGAAACTGGATTTTCCAGGGAGTGAGCGTGGCACTGGACATTTTAAACAGCAATGGATAAGATCTCCAAGCTGGGTTTTGATGGGGAAATTCAGCCCAGAAGCATGGAGCTGGGTGAGGAGCACACATTGCACTTGTGATGGGTATAATCAGATGTTGAAATTATTAGTGTTAGATGAAGATATTTCAACATCATCCCCTATCTCTGCTAGATTAATGGACTTAGGTCGCCTCCTCTGACAGCTCAGCTGCTTTTCAAGACTCTGGTCAAATCTGAGCACAATACGAAGAAGCTCATAGGACCAGAGGTTTGAGAATCACCTTCCTGTACCAGGAAAATAATCAAAGAATAATTATCCAATATGAAAGAATAATTAAGGCAGAGGCCCATTCACCTCATTAGTGGGGCAAGTAGATGCACATAGTCCACAGAGGTTATTTAGCCTCAAATCCCCAGCAATGACCTCGCTGGTACAAGAGCTGGCAGGTTCCTCCACGCTCCCACTGGTGACACAGCAAAGCTCATGGGTGCTATAAAATACACTCTAAAAGCCCAAACTACCTTTCCCCACCCTGGTTTTGGCTCTGTTTAAAGGCCCTGAAGGACATCAACATTCCCTCCTCTCCTTCTTTTTGGGCTCCTCAACAACACAGCACACACGTATTTAGCAAGGACAGGTATAAAAAGAACACCTACCCTACAATTTGATTAAAATACTTCCTGTAGCCGTCTAACGTTTCGTGCTGCAACAAAGAAGAAGCGAGCAAAGATTAAACCAAAGGTGGCCAAGAGCAACTGGAAATGAATTAGAGACCATCCCACCAGCAACAGCACACCCAGAGATAACTAACGCTCTGCTCTGCTGCTCGACACAGCAAGTTTGGGCTCTGTGAGTAGGAGAGCATCGTACCATGTTCGAAGGAGGCTGCAGGACCAATCTGGCTTGTTTTCTTCTCTGTTTCCTGTAGTAGCTCTCAAAGGTTTCCCGGGCACCCTGGAAAACAGGAATGATTCACTGAAGTTGTTATAATGGTTTGCATTAACTACAAACTTGTGATGTACTGGATCTACTGCTGACTTGCGATACGCTGTGCTTCAGATGCAAATCTCATACTCCTCCAATGTATCTGCACAACACTCCTGCAAAATGCCACCCAGATACCAGAAAATAAAGACTTCTACTGAAAACACTAATCCAAAATACAGCTGTTCAAGTATAATAGTATCTGATGAACTCTTCTATACCTCTTCTCCAGTATCACTGTGCAGATGTGGTGTATAGAGATGCGCAACCAGCTTCTTTGCTGGACCATGACACAGACAAATGTCAGAGTTACTTAACCCTGGGGCACTGAAACAACCAATTTCTAGTGTGAGCAAAAAGCAGCAGGGCACAAACAGTGCCAGAAATTGTTCCACTGATTCATGGGTGCAGAATGATGCAAAGCCACAAACGTCGGGGAATTTCAACAAAATGTGTTTGCATGTGTCAGAGAGTCGTAGAATCACAGAATCATTGAAAGCTTTGGTTTGGGTTGGAAGGGACCTTAAAGCTCCTCCAATTCCAACCCCTGCCATGGGCAGGGACCCCTTCCACTAGAGCAGCTTGCTCCAAGCCCCTGTGTCCAACCTGGCCTTGAACACTGCCAGGGATGGGGCAGCCACAGCTTCTCTGGGCACCCTGTGCCAGCGCCTCAGCACCCTCCCAGGGAAGAGCTTCTGCCTAAGAGCTCATCTCAGTCTCCCCTCGGGCAGGTTCAAGCCATTCCCCTTGGCCTGTCCCTACATCCCTTGTCCCAAGCCCCTCTCCAGCTTTCCTGCAGCCCCTTCAGGCACTGGAGCTGCTCTCAGGTCTCCCCTTCAGGAGCCTTCTCTTGTCCAGGCTGCCCCAGCCCAGCTCTCTCAGCCTGGCTCCAGAGCAGAGCTGCTCCAGCCCTCGCAGCATCTCCATGGCCTCCTCTGGCCTCGCTCCAACAGCTCCACGTCCCTCTTGTGCTGCTGCCCCAGAGCTGGATCAGGGCTGCAGGGGGGTTCTCCCCAGAGCACAGCATCCTTCACCTTAAAGCAATTTCTGAGTCCAGTCTATATAGCTGGGAAAAATAAAACAGATTCCTGAGCTTCTGCCCTCCACGGGCATCACCACCCATGCTGGGCGCTGCAGCAGGGAGCTGAGCTGCTCCTGCAGGAGCTCCATCTGTAGGTGGTTGTTTTACCAAGCCAGGCTACATCTGAGCATCACCACCCAGGCAGCAAACCCATGAGGATCCTCAAATGCCATCGACGTGCTGAAGCTTTCAGATGTCCGCCTACCGCCCCGGTCCCCTAGGCTATGGAAAACCTTGTCGTTTCATCCCTGCCTGTTCCTCCCTCCTCCACACCCGTGGTGTTTTATGTCTGAAATTGGGTTCTAAACACTTCAGAGAAGGGACAGGGTCTTGCTTTGAACTGCTCCGAGACAGTAAAACAAAAGATCTCATTCTGAAGGCAGAGAACAAACAACACACAACAACAAATATCACCTGAGCGAGGCACCGGGCGTCAGCCTTCCCTGCTACAAAAAATAAAGGAATTGAAAGGCAAACCTGGTGCTAATTTAAAGATCTAGCAGCTACCATGGCATTACACAACCGGGCTGCCTTAAGATGCTTATGAAATGTCTGCAATGAACCCTTGAGGAGCTGTGGCCTGACTTGCTCCTTGACTTCTACAAGACGGAGCTCAAGGCTTAAGGGAAATCTCAGCATTCCCACCAGTGCTGCCCTTCCCAACAGAGCTATAATGCATCAAAACACCTTCTTGCCACCATGCACATGCATTGCGAGGATTTGGCGGATTTATGGTGTGGATTTTGTCTCTGAATTCCCCTTTTTATTGTAACCGAGTATGAGGATGTGTTGGATGAGGAGCTCCTGACACATGCTGGGCACATACATCCAACCATCCATGGTCCAAATCCCCTTGGCAAGGGACAATTCTGAATGGGTGTAAATCCAAGCCTTTTCCTGCAATCAAGTTTGAGCCTACAAATAATCTGAACTTGAAGAAAGATTTTCAGAAGCACAAACTATTTGGGAACCAGCATTTCACAGAATCACAGAATAGTCAGGGTTGGAAAGGACCTTAAGATCATCCAGTTCCACCCCCCCCCGCCAAAGGCAGGGACACCTCACACTAAACCATGGCACCCAAGGCCTCGTCCAACCTGGCCTTGAACACTGCCAGGGATGGAGCATTCACAACCTCCCCGGGCAACCCATTCCAGTGCCTCACCACCCTCACAGGAAACAATTTCCTCCTTAGATCCAATCTAAATTTCCCCTGTTTTAGTTTGAACCTGTTACCCCTTGTCCTGTCACTGCAGTCCCTAAGAATGGCCCATCCCCAGCATCCCTATAGGCCCCCTTCAGACACTGGAAGGCTGCTATGAGGTCTCCACGCAGCCTTCTCTTCTCCAGCCTGAACAGCCCCAACTTTCTCAGCCTATCTTCAGATGTCTTCTTAATGCTCCCAAAACCTGTTCCCACGGCCCATGAGCCAGAAATCGGTGACCTACAAGTCAGACCCAGAACAGGGAGGATTATTACAGGTTTTTATCAAGCTAAGGACTTAGCCCCCTTCAGAAGACATAAACCATGGAGTTCTGAGCTCCCATGGAGCTCCTCTTCCAGCCCTGGGAGCTGGTGCTTCTCAGGATGCTGCTGTCACCCACTTCCTCTCCATTTTGGGGATGCCACAGGAGAGCCACAACAGAACAGCTTGTCCCATTCCCACCTTGCCACTGATGTGGCCACACTTCAGATACGTAATAAATCCTGCTGTGCCTCACCTCTCAAAACCTACGCAAGTGGCACAAAACCCTCCTCATCACCTCCATCCTGACCATGAGAGCAACTCGGCCTCTGGGAGCATCACTGAGATCTGAAGGTGAAGCTACTCATTAACCTTGCACAGCTCCTTCGCCACTGAGAGCAAACCACAACCCAGGCTTCTACCCCTATTTCACTGATGCCTTTGAGGAAGATGAAGCATCTGAACCAACACCATAATGTTCTCTGAAAATCAAACTATTTTGGCTTACACTTTCAGAGGAAAAATACGTTTTCCACAGACACAAGAAGCAGGAGTGACCTGAGCTGGGCTGGAGCTACCACACAAAGGATTCACTATAAACCCTCCTCTCCACATTGAGCCTCACAGTGTGTGCTTAGGTGGCTTTGGATACCAGGTCCTCCTTGGTCCAGCCTAACAAACGGCTTCAACTGTAGTAGAAGAAAAGGAACAGCAATGACCTTGGAAACCACTCCCAAAAAAACAAAAACCATATTCACATTTTCACAGTTTCCCTAAAATTTATGGCCTAGAGACCTGACAATCTGACCAAAATCATCTCCTTCCCAGCACACTGTTCCCTGTATTTCCTTTCTCAAGCCTTTCTTGGCTCTTCCAGGAATTAGGGACTCTAAGCTACTCCAGTGAAAAACAACTGCTCCCAAGAACATCTCTCTTGGCACTACCCACGTTTTTCTGGTGCACAACTTCACCCTTTTCTCTCGAGTGCATTTCTCCACCACCTCCCTAGATCTTTTCATCACTCATGTATTATATTCTCCCCACAACGGGAAGTCTTTCTTCCTTTTGGTGGCAGTTTTAGCTTAGACCGCACTGCTCACCACATCTGACCCTATCTTAGTCTATTCAATTTATCAGATCTTCAGATAATGTCACTCACTCTGTACTCTAGTTTTTAACTCTGGGTAAAAAAAATCCCAAAAGCAGAAAACAGACAAATAGAAATAAACCAAAAAAAGCCCCCAGAACAGACCAAAAGACCCACTGTTTTAGAGACTACTCATTTGAAACACCATGCAGTATTTCTATTCAAACCTGTTCCTCTTTCCCAGCCCTACACCTGGTGGTTCTTCACATTCAACCAACCCCATCCTTACCTCCAGTTTTCAAACACAGTATTTTGGCACCCAAATGCTGCACATGAGGTAGCAGAAGTGGCTTTACGGGCACCACTGAGCCAAGCAGGCTGTCCAGGCTCAGCCACCAAAGCACAGTGAGGTGTGAATCTCCATGTCCCCTTGGTGAGAAACAGTCCAACCTTTTTCTTTCCTTTCTCCTAAAAGCAGCCATTTTAGCCTAAAAAGATGCCTTGCACCTGCAAGGTGTTTTGTTTCATCTAAACCCATGATGTTGATGCACATCTCAAGCAGCACACGGCATGCCTGAGAACAAGAACCACTTGAGAAAGACTACTGAGGAGCAATTCCCAGCCACAACCTCTCATGGACTTCCAAACCCACCACTGACCTTCTGCAGAAGCAAGATGCTGCTAATACATCTCATTACAGAGGCAGCATCCTTGCTCCTTCTGGGTTTCTTGTGGGCTCAACCCATAAGACATGTGGAAATGAAGCAGTCGTGGTGGGGAGAGGGAGGTCCCTTTCCTAGGGAGGTTTTACCCAATTGTCAATCTCTTTAAGGAGCAGGAAGAACCCAAAGCCACATTTCCAAACAAGACATTTACTGCAGTCATTGTCCAGGAAAAACCCTCAGTAATGCCTCATCTTTTTAAAACTACTGGGCAGAGCTTTCCTTCTCCAATGAGCTTCAGGGGTTCCCAGACCTGGCAATGAAAAGCAGACAATTAAGCTCATGGATGAGCATCACAGAAGGGAAAAGGGAACGCAAAAACAGCAGCTGAAAAAAAACCCAAAAGTTTCCAAATTCAGGAGCAGCAGAGAGCTGAGAGCCAATCTACGTGGGAATGACATCGGGGGAAACTTCCTGTAAGCCTCATCCTGCTGTTGTGCTCAAAATGCCCAGGAAAACGGGAATTCTGGATGCAGAACATGTAGATGACAATAGTCTGGACTACTGAATTTCTGCTTACCTGGCAGCAGAAATACACCCCGTGTTCTTCATGCAATGGTAATTTACCTGCTGCACACAACTGGGTAACGTGTGCCATCAGTAACCCACCACTCC